AAGAGAAATGCGAGGAAGGGGGGGGGAAGAGCAGGGTGATTAAAAAAAAAATTCGGAGTGGAGGGGGATATGGTAAGATGAAGGATGAAGGATGATCAGCCTTTAAAATTCTCCAAACAAACCCTATTGGGGAATTGAACCGGGGCCATTCACACAAAAGCTAGAAATATACCAACAGAGCTAAAGCAGTACCTCTATCGTTCCTATAAACGTCCTATATTATAACGGTCTGTTAAAACAGAGAAGCTTGAACTCTGACTTTCTGTCGTCGGCAGACGCATGCTGGTAACTGCCCGAAAGAGATCATCTGGTGCGAGAACAAATGTGGTGCGAAACTGGAGCGGCGCTTTCTCTCCAACCACATGAAAAACGAGTGCCACAAGCGGACAGTGCCCTGCCAGTACTGTGCCAGGGACTTTGTGCAAGAGACATTGCAGGTTAGTATTCGGCTTTGTTTGTAGGTCTGTATGTCTGTCTGTTTCCTTGGCAGCCTGTCTGTTTGTTTGTTTGGCTGTCTGTCTGTCTGTCTGTCTGTCTGTCTGTCTGTCTGTCTGTCATGAATTGAGAAAAGAAGGTTGGGGGAGCGACAAAATGAGAATAAGGAGGGGGGAGGGGGTCAGTGGGTTGGGTGGACTGCTGGTTACAGTATCCAGATTGATCCTTTTCACTCAGTTTTTTTAATTCGTTTCGCTTCTTGTGTTGATCGTTTGCTCTTTTATCTGATGCTACGACGACAATAACTCGAAACTTTCCGTTTTTCCTCCAGCGGGAAGAAAAGCTGGCAATGTCGTCCATGGCTCGCCCAATTGTAGTGCAATGTCCCCTGGCTAAACCACTGGGGGGTAAAGGTTTACTTCAGCCCCCCCCCCTTCCCCACAAAAAAATCCCCTTTCCCTCCCCTCCTCACCATTCCCCACTCCCCCTCCCCTTTAAAAAAAATAAATTAAAATACGAGTGGCGGGAAGTTGTCACTGGTAGGTCCTTCTTCTTTACTTTCCCTCT